CAGCAGCAAGTTGGAGCAGCAGCGAGGCTGCTCTACCTTGCCTTAGCTGGAGGGGCTGGTTAACGCCATCACTCAATGACTGATCTGATCCTGCACCACTTCAGCATAATTGAGGACAGGGCAGATGCCATGGAGCTTTATCTTAGCATAAGAATTCCCCCCCCCAAAAAAAGGGATTTCCTCGCAGTGCTTTCAAAGCAACTTTACGGTCATCTTTGTCTTACTGGAGCAGACTCAGTCTCATGGAGGATTTAGATCCTTTGAGCCAGATGTGGGTCTTGGTTACAACACCATCAGCCTTTTCTGGAGACCCCCTATAACCTCAATCAACCTGTGATCCCTTTAGTGTTGCATATTTTCATCTTATTTGGTGGAAAACCTTGAAAAGAGTATTTTAAGATGCTGAAGAAAATTAATTAAAAGGAGTGAAAAGTAGGTATCCAGCCTGTGGTAGGCTGATTATCTGTCTCCAATATTCATGTTTTAAAATAATTTAAAATATTGCTTTTTTTTTTTTTTTTTTTTTTTTTCAAGAGGCAGTAAAAACCCTTCCTTGCCTACCGCCACAAAGCAACCAATTTTTATCCCCTTGAATTACCTCTTACTTTCTCTGAGTGATCCTGGGAATCCCACTTGAATGCCTTGTTTGAACAAACACTCCTCATGGGTAAGTGTCCATGGCAGGATCAGGCCCATCATTTCTTAGGGCACACTGATCAAAAATCAGCCCTCAGTTCAAGCTGATAACCAAGAACAAGGTATTCCTGCTGTGTCTGTGTCTCATAGCGCCTTGGTGGGGGCTGTAGGATGCGAGCAGGTCCTTACTAAAGAAAATTAAGAAGTTCCTGAGGCAGAAACGGAAACCCCACAACGCTGCTGCGTGGAAGCAGGAATCCCTTGAAGGTGGTTTTCAGATTTCCAAGTAAATCTATCCTCCAGCAGCTGCTAACGCGGCAAATCCTCATGTGTGAGAAAAAGGGAGGGCGCAAAGTAGAGGCTGACTCCACGTTATGCATGGACAGCAAACCCCTCTGAATTCCAGCAGATGTTCTGGGTTGACAATGGGAACGTTATAAGCCTGTTTATTCTTTTATCTCGGGAAGAAACACCATTTGGCAGCAATTTGCTCCCTGGCAGTAAGAATGAATTACTGACCTGATTGTCAGATGAAAGACGTGCCAGCCTGCAAGAGGGGCAGCTTGTAAACCGCCTGGTGCTTGCGGAGAGCGCGCGCTTGCCTCTGTACACTGGGATGTATCTTGACTTATGTGTGTCTGGGATTGCTGTTTCCTATCGAGAGAAGCCTGTTAATGGAGAATGGTATTGCTCAGCTTTTTTTTCCACCAGCATCTCTCTGAGGAATCGGTGCAGTCCCGCCTCTTTCGATCAGCAGTGGTGGTTATTTATTTAGATGCAGCCAGACAGCCAAGGACAGCACAGCCAAGGTATCCCTGCCCGTTTGCGACCTGTTGTTGTGCTTTGTGGCTATCCTTCAGATTTCCAGTGCTTTCTACATTAGACATTTGCTGGAGCCACTGTAAGAGCTTGCAGCACAAGGACTCGCCACTGAAATGGATCTTAGGTTTCTCAGGAAGGTGTCAGTTCAGGTTGGCTTCTTCCACTCGCCCTTGGTGGCAGCGGTCAGCAGCTCTGCGTGCTGCCAGCGTGCTGGTCGCGTGCTCTGTCCCATTCCCCTTTGGGGCTGGGTTCCTGCCCTTCATCTTGTGGTTGTAGCTGTCGTTTGCGGTTACGGTCCTCGTTTGGGACTTTGAGCCGGAGAATGAAGAGAAGTCATTTGAAAGTGGTCATCACTTCCTCTCAATTACACAATAGGGATGTGCCCTCTTTAAAGAAATCCTAAAATAGACCACAGTGTGTCATGATCTAGGGTGTTGCATGATCAAATGCAAATTAACTGCAAGCTGACGTGTTTATTCTAAGTGGATGAAAGATGATGCTTTCATTTAGCTCCTTTTTGGAGGGCGGGTGGGGAGTACTTGGTGTCAGGAAACACCGAGTCCGAAGTCTTACAGCTACCTGAGCCTGTGCACTGAACTTGTCCAAACGCCCTTGTCCCCCGTCAGGTTTGTGCTGAAAGGGTTAATTTTGCACCATCTGGCTTTGTGCTAGATCAAATATTGTTTGTGTTGAGGTAGCCAACATGAGGCCAGAATAAGCTCGGGGTAATATGCTTGGCTAATCCAACAGAAATATGATTATGTGCCTGTTCCTGCTCCAGATCATATCTGCAGTAATGAGTGATTTAGTAACACAAAACAGTGATTGTGGAGACATGGCTTGAGGCATGTAGATAACCTGGATGTGATGATCTCCTTGCAGTGGGCAACAGAGAGACAATAGGGATGTCTAAACTCAAATTATATACTTTAAAGAAGTAATTAAAGAGAGAGAAATCCCAGTCTTAATGCAGAATGACTTCCTAGGGAGTTACCTGAGAAATCAGGGGTATTTAACTTTGCATTTTGCATGCTGTAGTGACTTCCTAGGTGCTAACCTGAGGTTAACCAAAAATGAACAGCTGGAGTTCTACTGTATTTTGCAGAAAGGCCCATTTCGAGCAGTGAGTTCATTTAAGTTCTGTCTGGGAGGCTGTGCTGTTCCCGTGCTTGGCAGGAATCTCAAGACTAATACCTAAGAGGATTAGAGAGCATCGCTGAATGTTAAACAAGATCCAGGCTAAGCGGTGTGCACCAGTGAGTTTGTGCTCCAGGGGCTGTTTGGGGAAGCTATTACTTGCTGATCTGGAAAAAAAAAAAGTGAGCTTGTGTGGGAAATACTCTTCCTTCAGCTGAATCCTTCCTGTAGTTTCTGTCTCTCTCCTTGATGCAGTGTTTCCACCCTCTGCCCATCTCATGGCCTCATGTGCTCTTGTGCTCACTGGGGATGGTGACTGTTGCAGGGGATGCTGGTGATCAGCAAGTTCCTTTCTGTGAAGCATTTTTCTCTTCTAATGTGCTCCATCCAGCTCTGTCTCATCTGGTTTGAGAGAGGAATGGGTGGACATCCAGCCCACCGACATAGGGTTCAGCTGGAGAACTTGTCACAGAAAGTTCAAGCTAAAGACCTCGTGGTACATGATTTTCCCTAGGAAGTCCCCTTACTGTGGAGAAGAGGGATTGGAAGACAATCTTGGCTCAGGAGAAGAAGTACTAGGTAATATGGATGTTGACCTCCAACCCTCTTTGTTCACAGCAGGTAAAAGAGCCAGCATGGAGGCTGTGCCTTTACAGCACTCTGTAATGCCTCAGGATTTCACACAGATTTCTTCTCGTGCTGCAGCAGAAATCAGGGGTTTAAGATTTGTATTTCAGCTTCAAATTTTGACCTTTTTTTTTTTTTTTTTCCATTTGAAAGGAAAAAGGCATTAAGACCTCATGAAGGAATGGCTCTTCAACAGCGAGGCCGTGTGTGAAACCCACTTCTAACAGCTCCTCACTCGCCGTCTGCACTAGCACAGGCGTGGCAGGTGTTCTAAGAGAAAAGGCAGTTGTGGAATTGTGCAGATTTCTCTAGGGTTTTTGAATGGTTGACAGCAGAAAGGAGGGTAGTGGTCCAGGTTAGGGTATAAATAGTTCTGGCTCCAAGCACGATTGTGTTTCTGCTCCTATTCTTAATGATCAAGCCAAAAATAGATTCCTGATACCCTGGAAGAGAAGTGCAGCTTGGTATAATACATGAATTGGTCATTCATTGAGGAAAAAAAAAAAAAAGCGCCAGATGAAGGAGATATCTCAATGAAAAGGCTGTTATCCAGCTGCAATGTAAAAGAAAAGCCTGTGGAAAGGCTCTGCTACTCCAGCACTGACTGTTTCCTTCTGTTTATGAGGCTGCAGTAATTCTGTATAATGCTAACACACCACCTACAACAGAAGTGCCTCCTATTATTGGTGCCAAATCTGCCGTCTTGTGATATGGCTTTCACAAAGTTCCGTGGTATCATTTCCTCTGGTTTTCCCTTTTTGTTTTTACCCTCACACTGATCGAACCAGGATGATGAAAAGGAGTAAGTTCCTGTAAGCCGTGGTGGATGTCAGCGTTATTGCATTATATTTATCCTGTACTCAGCATCCTTGCATAACACAGGATGTTGCTTTTTTTTGTTTGTTTTTATTGGTTCTCTCTTTAGAAGCAGCAAAGAATCATGTCTCATATTCTTCATTTGGGTTTTGCTCGTTTTGTTTCATTTCTTGTATCATAAAGGATTTGCCTGGATTTGCATCTTCTGCATGGAAACAAAGAAGGGAGGGCTATAGGAACTGACTGGTAACCATTGGGAAAAGCTGACTAACGGCTCATGCAGAAACATTATCCTGAATGTTGAACATCCTTAAATGGGTTGTAAGAACCCAAGTGATGGGAAATAACGCCATGCTGTGGTCAGGGCTGGATATTGGGAGAATGTTGGTGGTGTAGCTGTGTAGGAAGAGCCACTGAGACGCTGTGCTCCATGGACCGTGTCGGTGGCTGGAGAGCACAGTACTGTGCCAGCATGAAAACCACCTCACCGTCGATGAAACTTATGGCTAGGAAAAAGGTATTAAAGCAAGAGTGACATTAGGGAGCAGGAGTTAGGTATTATAGCATAAAAGAACCTTTTGTCTGGCTAATCTTTGCTATGGCAGAATGTAGCGGCCTGGTTAAATCTGCTTTGTGCATTGGCACTGTAAGTTTTTAAAGATGGTCTAAGGCAGCTGCAGCCAATTGTGCTTGCACAGATAAGCTGGAACAAATAAGTAAGCTCAGAAAATCTGGCTAGATTTATCTTCAAAGCATTTTCAAGCAGCTAATTGAAAATTACCCAAGTCACCTTCCTGATTTCTTGCATATTATTGCATTAATTTGCTAGCGAATGGAAAGTGCTTGGAAAACATATAAAGGATTTGTGAGTGCTAAGCTTTGCCATTTGGAATTTATTTAATTATGTCCTTGCTCATGTGATAATTCAAAGCCAGTTTCTACTGTTCTCTTCCATGCTTCAGGCTCTGCTGGGACTAATCATGTAAAAACATGTCTCTGACATGAAGGGTGGGCCAGGGTGTTCCTATCACCCTCTGCTTCTGGATGCCTCTGCCCTGCCCTTCAGCTGTCCCTGCAGCACTGATGGTGAGCACAGCATTGGGTGTATGGTCAGCTGGCTGCTCTGTAGGTGTGTTTCTCATTCCTGAAACGTTTCCGTGTGTGCAGGATGATGCTGGTCCTGGAGGAATTGGTTATGAAAGGCTCCAGGCTGGTCCTGGTGCTGCTCCCAGCAATAGCAGCATCCTCTGTATTGCTGAACCAAAGGGATGCTTTTTAAAAGCGTGCTAAAAAATGCAAGGTGCACACTTGATGTGAGCTGGGTGAAGTTCCGTAGCTGACACGAAAACAATTCAGTGTTGCATGTGAACAACCCAGTCACCCCGCACTTTCTTTATCTCCCTTTAACTGAACCAGGGCCCTGAGGACAAGCCCAGTTCACAGGACTGGGACCTGGATTTATCTCACTTCTGGGAGGCTTCCCCATTCCTAAACCAGCGAGTGGATTATGTTTGATCCATATGGTGTTTATCAGCCATGACAGAAGTAATGCTGATAATCTTCTGAAGCCAAACTATCCCAGAAAAATTCAGTATGTGTTACCAAGAGAAATTAAATATACGAACCCCCGTGAATTTGTTCCTTTCTGCAGGAACGTGAGCTCGGTACTTGGATGTGGACTTTCCCAAATTCAGAGTATCTGTTTAGTAAGGTCAGGTTCACTCCTGTGTCAGGGAGAATAACGTGAGACCACCCAGGACAGCCACCAAGCATCACCAGGGGCTGTGTCTCCCTGGTTTACAGTACGTTTTTGGATCATTTTTAATCCCTTATTCCTGTTCCTTAGCAAATATCTCCATGTATGCCATAGAACTGAAAAAAATGATTAAGCCTACTCATAAACCTTAAACTGTGCTCAGCTATGGAAAGCAGAAGTTATGAATAGATGTTATTTGCCACAATAATACCCTATAAAAGTCAAAAACCATAGAGTGAAAGGGAAGATTAACTATTATTGGGCATGCTTCAGCAAATGGGATTATTTTGCATGTCAGTTATGAGTTAATTTGTAACATTAATCTAATCGCAGCCCTCGGCAGAGACACAAAATGTTTTTAATTGGTCCTGTGACTTTTTAACTGATCACCTGATGAAAAGCTTGTAAGTTTTACCGTTGATTTAATGCTAAATATTAGGGGAGGGAGTCTTTACAGATTTCATCACGAAATACAAATCATATGCTTTCATCGCCTTGCTACTTTCGTTGTGTTGACTTGGTAATGTTGGCAGTCTGGAACCAGCTGCACAGCTGAAAAAAAAATTGAGTTAAAATCTTGCAGCAAAAATGAGTAAATCTATAGCTGTGAGATAATAGCATTGGGACTGATTCAATGTAAGCAAGAAATCACCAGCTGAGTCATTAAAAAGAGAGATGAATGGGAAGCAATAAATGGATGGCTTAGATGAATAAGAATGATTAGGAAGTGCATGAAGTTGTTGGTTTGTTGTTTTTTTTTCCCCTAAAGATTATATTTTGTCCTCTAAAGTGGCATATGGCTCCTATGAAAGCTAATATTCCCAGTGAATGTGTCACTGCCAGTTTATAAATACTTCAAGAGATAAAGAGCAGCTCGGTGGGCAGCAGTGAGCAGGAACAGGCTTCCTGCCTGCAGCACCTGGGTACAAGTCGTTAGCCCAGGTCCGTCGGGAGAGGGCCAGGACGTGGGCTTTGGGGGCAGAGAAGGCTTCTGTGTCTAGGGAAACATCTGCTGCTTGGAGAAAAGACTGGTCGCTTCCTTGGAAATGTTTCGCCTGCTGTTTACGTGAGTAGGACTAAGGGTAACCAGGGTTGAAGGGGAGGATGATGTGGTCACCTGGGTCTGATGGCCCAGACTCCTGCTCCTCCAGGAAAGAAAAACATTAATCAAAAGCTGTAATATCTTTCCTGACTCATGAAATATCAAAATATCAATATATATTCATGAAGTATCAAAGGAGATATCCCAGTAAAGAGGCGGTAGGAGTGTTTCCTCCAGGGTGAAGGTGTGCCAGTTTGGGAGGTCTTGGCTCCTGGTCACATCAGCTAACAGAGATGGGCTTTTTCTATCTACTGAAATCAATGATAGCAAAATCCATCCCCAGCCAAGCAACCTTCTTTACAAGTGCAGTGAGATGTAACATCAGACTTACATTTGATATGGGAAGCATGCAGCTGAAGTCAGCCGGCTGCTGTGCAGGAGGCATGTTTGATTTACAGCAGGGTAACGTGAACAGTTCCGCCCCTTAGAGCCTCATCCAGCACCTCATAATCACTTCTGACTTTAATAAAATTAGAGTGCTAAAGCACTCTTATTTATTGTTTCCAATATTACATCCAAAGATGAGGAAACAGATTTAGAGCTGTAAGAGTCATAAGAACATTGGAGGGATGAAAAAGTGAAAAAATAGAGCCTTGCATCCAAGGCATTATCTTTCTGTGCCAGCACGTTACAACACTCTGTCTCTGCAGCAAAATTTCAATGCCTGCAGTTAGTTTTGGCATTTACATGTTAGACATCAAAGTTATCCTGCACTGCGCTCAGCCAGCTAAAGTAGAAGTTACCCGGAGAAGTCTAGTGTGGACGTGAAAACCGGTGCCCTTCTGGCAGCCAAGCTCTCCCTGCCCTGCACTATCATCAAATTCCTGCTAAAATCTGATCTTGAAATATTCTGTGCACTCTGCTCCCCAGACAAGGTAATTAAGGTGAAATTATTTGCCCACAAAAGGTAGAGCTCATTCATTTAACTTCCCTTAAGGACCAGACCTGTCGTAGCACTACTGACCTGGATGTTTAAAATTTGTTCTGCCTGTGTGGCCTATGCTCTGCCCTTCTGGGGAGGGAGCAGGACCTTGGCGCTGCCCTAAGCATCACGTTCTGCCAAGTCCTCCTGCCCCAGTGCCTGCAAGAGCTGCTGGTACAGGGAAGCACATGGGTGCTCGTGCACACCGTTGATGAGTATTAATTTCTTCACCAAAGGCTGCAAGATTCCCAGGTTACAGCAATCCGAATGTGGTTCGTTTCACTGGGGAAACAAATACTCTTTTTTTTCTCCTCATTTCTTGCTGATGGGGCTGATTGCGACCTCAAGAGGAACATTATAAGAACCTCTCAAACAGATATCGGCCAACAATATTGGGAAATACAGGCTGCTTTGAAGATACTCTGTAATAAAGCAGTTCTTGCCTAGCGGTTATTGCATGTTTAAGTCCAGTATTCGAGGGAGAACCTTATAGTTTTCATCACCCATAGTTCAGCCAAGGCATTTCAGAAAAAATACTGTTGGTTGCTGGCATGATCAGGTGCTGCGATGCACAGGAACGGGTTGAAAGAAGGCAGTCTGCATCAGTAATCAGGTTAGAGTCAGCTGCCTCTGCCCTCCAGCTCGCTCTGAAATGGCATGTAGTCTAATTAGTTATAGAAAGGATTTTACTGAATGGCTGTAAACAGATCTGAGGGCTTGAAATAAAATCAGTCTGACTGTGGAAACTTTTCGGGATAATTATAAACTGTTATTGGCAGAGTGTGAAAGAGAGACCAAAGGACTTTTAACAGTGGGAAACTTGTAGCTGTGTGCACGATTCTCTGCCAGGGGAAGAGGGGAAAGAGGTGGTGAGGGTCCGGTGTCTAATCAGGGTTATTTTTTTTTCAGAGGAGGGATTCCTGGCTTCCACTGATGGGCAGACTGCCTTTAGAGGTGACTAAATGCTCTTGAATGTTTTGTTCTTTTCTGTAATGTTAATGGCGCCCTGATAGCTGAGGTACCAACACACCCCATGGTGGGGGGCGCCCAACTGAACTGCACAGTGAAATGCTAATACTTATTTACAAAGAAAAAAAACCACTATTTGAGGGCTCTGAGCATAGTTTTATATAAAGGCATGCATAAAACTTCTCTCTTTGCAGATCAGGTCTTGGCTCAGACCTTTGCCATCTCCTTAGTGATGTAAATGCTGAAAATTGCATCTCCTGGGTAGGCTGGTCCCCGCTGCACCGTGAAGCCACCCCCGGCCACCAGCCCCACCTCGACCTGCTGCTTGACTCTCCATTCCTGTTCATGGCAATGCCCCAGAATTCGACTGGAGAAAATGGCTTTTGTTTCGCTCAGACCCTTGACTTCTCCCGCCCATCTCCTCCTCCCGGTGAGCCCGTCCTGAGTGGGCAGGAGGCCTGTGGCACCCCACTGAGCAATGGTACGGTGTCATCTGGTGTGCCCAGCCCCTCCGACTCGTGCGCTGAGCCCCTCTGCTCCAACACCCCGGGAGAGGAGGAGACCCAGTTCAGCAAAGGGATTAAATACGTGTCCGCTGAAGGGGAGGACCTGGCCTGTGGCTGGGGGGGGTTCACCCCGGGGTGCTTACAGCCCTTTAACACGTCCAAGGGTGTCTTGTTCTTCCTCTGTGTTGCCTCCTTCCTGCAAGGCATGACAGTGAATGGCTTCATCAACACGGTCATCACCTCCATCGAGCGACGCTTTGACCTCCGCAGCTACCAGAGCGGGCTGATCGCCAGCTCCTACGACATCGCGGCGTGCATCTGCTTGACGGCCGTCAGCTATTTTGGGGGGAACGGCCACAAACCGCGATGGCTGGGTTGGGGCGTGCTGGTCATGGGCTTGGGCTCCCTGCTCTTTGCCTTGCCCCACTTCACCACGGGACGGTACGAGGCGCGTTCAGCAGCAGAGGTGGGTGTCTGCGGAGGGAACCAGAGCCTGCCCTGCACCCAGGCTGCCTCCAGCCTCTCCGGCTACAGATTCATCTTCATGCTGGGGCAGTTCCTGCACGGGATGGGAGCCACGCCGCTCTACACGCTCGGTGTTACCTACTTAGATGAAAACGTCAAGACTAACTACTCTCCCGTGTACATCGGTGAGTCGAGCCAGAGGGGCAGCTGGAACCTGTGAGCTGGGCAGTGGGAGGGAGAGCCCGTCCATCTGCCTTGGCACCAAACGGGCCACACTCAGGAGTTTCATGAGAAGTGTTCCAGGTCTTCTGCTCCTGCTAATGGGAGAGGTGGCAGCTGTTGGGGAGGTTTTGATTCTTTATAGGCAGGAAAATAGAAGTGCAGCTGGGTATGTTCCCTCCTGCAGTGCACGCCCAGCAGATCAGGAGGTGCCTCCTGCTCCCAGCACGGGGCCAGCTGGTAAGAGCCCTCCAGCATGCGCATGGCATTAGCATCTCTGGCAAACAATCGTGAGGCTATACCCTGTCCGCGCAAGGGTACGTCACCCCTTTAGTGCTGTAGCACAGCCGGGATGGTCGCTGGGCTGCTCAGATACTGCTGGTGCGAAGCACAGCCAAGAGAAGAGGCTCAGCTCACTCCTCTCTTCTGTGTATCACTTAGCAATTGCCAGATACTTACGGTCCTATTTGGTGAAATTGCTGAAAGGGGTGACCTCTGAGCAATTTCAAAATTTACAGTCTGCCCATACTGTTGTATCAGAAGGCTGTGCATGGAGAAAAGGAGATCATCAGTAAGTTGATGGTCTTTCCAGGGTAGCAAACCAAAATAAGTGCCAATGGTGCCATCTTTAGTACATACATCACATATATTTGGTGGGGAAACAATGCCACTGCTCATCACACCAGCAGTTAAGATGTGGCAGCAGGGTCAGCTACATCCCTACTAAATACGGTTTTCCACTGAACAAATTTTCCATGCCCCATACAATAAAAATTACCAGGTTGGATGCAAAAGTTTCCCTGGGACACGAGTGAGATGAAAACTTTTTCAAACTGTGAAATTAAAACTGGCTTTGTTTCACAGTGGCTTAGGGAGAGGGGTGCGAGGTGGCAGGAGGCTGAGCATCCCAGATCCAGGAGGGAGTTGGGCCAGTGCCGTGAGGCAGGGGATGCTCGACACCGGCAGTGCTCCTCAGCATCCCAGGCTGAAATGCTGCTCTTTCTCTAACACGACTTGTTTTCCCTTTCAGCTGTTTTCTACACTGCTGCAATCCTTGGGCCTGCAGCGGGTTATCTGGTAGGAGGAATGTTTCTAAATATTTATACTGAAATTGGCAGAGAGTAAGTCACTAAAAAATAATCTTGTTCCTTTTCCTTTATGCTATATGTTTCCTTTGGGGTAAAAAAAAAAAAATTAACACTAATAATCTGGAGAAATGACCCGGTGGCTGGGTGGATGTGTGCCCATGGTGTTCAGCAGTGTTTCTGGGGGGGGATGCTGAGGCTGGAAGGGTGGTTTGTATTAGTGCTGTTGCTGGAAGAAAATTGCTGACAAACCTGTCAGCTTAAATCCTTCCTCATGCTGCACTGCCTGTGCTAATGAGGCTACGAGCAGCAGGTGAGTTTTTTTGAATGAGTTCCCTGATGAGGCAACACTACCAGCAGTGCTGCTCGTCCTCCCGGTCATCCAGCCAGGATGCTTAGTCCCTTCTTACTTCCTAGTGTTTGTAATTTATTCTTATCTCCTTACAGGCTCTTTGGCAGATTAATAGGTTAAAAAGGGGGAGTGGGTTTCCAGAGGACAGAATGGGTTATTTCCACCAGTTTTCTTGTGAAGGGCTGCTCGGGGGTGGAACAAGGTTCATAGCAAAGCTCCGAAGCGCAAATGAAATGGGGAGAGGTGAATGTGCACGCCAGAGATTAAAGGAGAATTAAATGATGTCGTTTCTGGGGCTTGTTAAGTGTCGTGCTCTCCGGTAAGGCAGTGCTCTGGTGTGGCAGGACAGATGGTGAACACGGCATCCCCAGCAGATCGCCATGGGAGAGGCCAGCGCTCAGTTTCCTTTGGTGATGTCCCCACCGTGTCCCTCCGCGGTCCCTGCCAGTTTCAGCGATGGGCACGGAGTTGTCCTGCTCCATTTCAAACCTCTCCCTTGTGTCCTTTCGGCTTCGTTTCTTACAGGGTTGACATCACCCCGGAGAACACGCTGTGGGTGGGGGCGTGGTGGATCGGCTTCCTCGGGGCCGGAGCAGCCTCCCTCCTCATCTCCATCCCCATCCTGGGGTACCCCCAGCGCCTCCCAGGTACGGCTCGAGGGAACTGGGGCTGGGACTGCACTTGGGCCTTGTGTCCTTATGCGCGCACGTAGCTGGGACACGGGGATAGAGGAAGAGCTTCCAGTGTTTAAATTGTAATTTTTGCCTGGATTTCACCCCCAGGGCTTTGCAGCTGCCTGTTTCTCTGCTCCTCCCTTGTAGCCATTGGTGGAGGAAGGATGTCACGTTGCATTTTCCCCCTGAAAATCCACCACTTCGGTAGCATCCGCATCCGTGTCTCACACGCTTCTTGTTCCTGTTTGCTTCATGTTTTCAGGATCCCAGCGATATATCGTTATGAGGGTGTCAGAGGCTCATCAGCTAAAGGATGGGAGCCACAAAAAAGCATCAGATCCGGACTTTGGGAAAACAGTTAAAGATCTGCCTCGGTGAGAAAACCACCCAATGCGTAAGGTTCAGGGAGCCCTACCCAGGAGTGAGGGCGATGGGCCCAAACCGAGCTTGCTTTCTACAGTGCTGGCTGACAGGTTTTGCCCGTCTTCAAACATAGTGGCGACTCTTCCTCGCAGAGGAGGTTGCAAAGCGCCTGGTCCCGTCAGCACCCGGGGACTCTCAGCAAATTGTGCAGTGGGTTGTGGGGGAGAGCAGGGGACAAGGTGCTGGTCCTGTCTGGTTTTCAGAAGCTCACGTCCACGAGCAAAGATCCACCTGCAGTCATATGCAGCAGGCTGAGTTTTACCAGGAGCGGCTTGGTGCCAACCTTTAGGTGGTGGGAGATGCACAGGCATTGCCATCTTGTTCCCTGTCCCCAGCAGCATTATTTCTTCCTGTCTGCTTGTATCTGGCCCCACCTGGCCCAGTTGGGTGTTGCCCAGTGTCTGTCCCCTCAGAGCTTTTCTTCTTTTCCTCTGTTTCTGCTTGTGTTAGATCCCTGTTTTATCCTTTTAATGAGAAGAAGCAAAACCCCCAACTCCCACATCTCCATTCCAAGTCCAGGGAACAAGATATCCTGCACTGTAGCTTTCAGTTCCCTTTCTTTGTTATTCTTAGTTTCCTTTTTCTTTTTTTATCCTTTTGCCTTTGCATCTTCCGGCCACCCTTTATGTGTTACTATTTCTTATCTCTCCTGCAAAGCAGTGACGCAGCAGCAGGCTTAATCACAGGGCTGCTGCTTGGAGCACACTTGCACCAAAGGAGGTTTGGTAGGAGATGGTTTAAAGGGATCCCGGGTAGGAACAAGTGAGTGCCCAAAGTAAAACGCGGTCTTTTAGTCTGGAAACATTTGCTATGGATCTCTGAAATCTTTTATGAATTCCCCCCGCCCCGCTCCCTGTATTTGAGCTGTATTTAAGCAGAGGGCAGGGGGAGAGGTGCTGCTCTATTTACAGCTTGGATTTAGCTGGTGTGCAAGCTCTGCGTGTTGCAGAGATATCTTGGTATCAATTCCTTCTGGAGCTTGCAGTCAATAAGGGGATTTTTCCTTTTCCTATTTCTCCCAGGACTGTTCTTGGGGAGGAGTTTGCATCCATGTGTGACGGCTGCACCGTACAAAGGCAAACATTCAGTGTTGCCAAACCTCGTGCCACTGCAAGCAATTACCTCAGAACTTTCGTTGTGGTATTTGCCTTTGTGCTGGCAGAGGAGGATTGAGGCAGGTGCTCAGTATGGAAATTTTCAACAGCAGTTGATCTGTCTTGTGTCAGCGCAACGACTCACATAGGTCTGAAATTCTTGGAGGCTTCATAGGAAGTTTACCAGGGGTTAAGGCAGTTTTGCGAAGAATATTACATTGAACAGATTTCAATACTGTTATTAAATGGCATTCTTGACTGGGTGCCATTTTCCGAGGTCATGGCTTATTCTCTGTGCGGAAATTAAATTCAAAACCTGCATTTAAATAATGATAAGGTTATGACTAAAACCAACACAAACAGAGTAGTAGAGAGGGAGAAAAATTCAGTGGTTGATGCTTTTCTTGCTTATCTGGAGCAAAGCTCCTGCTGTTTCTTGGTGAAGGCCTGTCTGACAGCAGGTATGGAGGCAGCCCTCCTCCGGCAGCATCTTCTTTCACCTGAAGAACAATATTTTGTTCCTGAAGAACAAATACCCGTAGGTGGGCAGCTCATATCAAACAATGCAGATCACCCTAGGTCTCAGTGTGGTTTTCGTTTGAAAGCAAAAACCCCACAGACTTTTGTGTTCCCTGCTTTTGATTAATAAAAGGGAAGTGCCTTAAAGGCTTGCTATTCTGGAAACTTGCATTAAAGAGGAGAATCACATCTGTGCGTGCAGCTCTTGGACACGTGGACCAGGCTGGAGAGTGAGGCCGAAGGACAGTGTTGCTTTTGTTTTAGTAAGGGATCGGATGCTACACGTTTTCTCACAGTACGAACAGTAAGTATCTCTCAAAGATAAGCAGAAATACTGATAAAATAAAATACTATTCCATGCCATCAGGTCCTTTCTAAGCAAGCTTAATGAATTGCTGTATTCACGGTGCTGCCTGAGAGCAGGAGCTTACAGGAATGCAGCCCATACAGCTTAATCCTCTGCCCTGAAGAGACTTCCCTCTTAATTCTTGGGTTGAAAAGCCCTGATAAAATGGCATTTTCCTTACTCTGGTTCCATATGATTGTTCTCATGAAATGACTCGTGCTGTCAGTGCGGAGAGATTTAAACAGAAGACATGTAGAGCTGTGCCAGGAGAGGAGGCTTTGTCCTAGAGAGCTACAGGAAGGAGTTTGTGAGGGTGATTCACGGGTCTGTCAAGGACTGGTCTTCAACGCGAGAAGCTACGGTCAATATTTCGCTCATACCTCTCGGGTTAGGTGGCACGGTGGGGCTTCAGTTTGTCTCAGGCCTTTGCTACAGCTTCCCTGCATTGTAAAGGCAGATCGGTTTATATTCCCGTGGAACATACGTGCTGCCCTCTGTTCCCTTGGTGGTGATGATGGTAGGTGTCATTTTGTGCTGGAAAAGTCCCCATTCACATGCTCTTACGATTGCATAAATATTTGTGGATCGTTAATGACTCATTAACTTGTAGCTGTACTCTGTTACGGTCTGGGGTGTCCTGGGCATGCAGGCGTTCCTCCGAGTAGGAGGCTCTGATTGTACAAGTGGTCCCCACCTACTCAGCAGGACATTTCACCGATATGTGCCTCTATCAGTAAAGACTTGTGGGATCAGGCTCTTATAGATGGTGGGATTCGTTTCTTGGCAGTGCTGAGCTTCCTGAAATCCCTTTGGCTGCCAGAACTGAGGACATTCAAGGCTATTGAAGAGTTAGGTGGTTTCTGTGTCTGACTAAAATCCTCCTGATCGCAGTGACAAGGTCTGCGTTGACTTTGGTAAGGTTCTCTGTGCCACAGCTCCTCAGAACCGCATCTTCTGTCTACAAATGGATTAAATAAGTAAATCCTTACTCTTAGCACTGAAAGGAGTTTCTCTGCATTCTCCTACCTGCAAGTCTAACCTGTAACCTTTGGCCGACAAAGCCATGCTGGTGGCAGAGGACAACTCCTCTCTTCTCTTCTCTTGAACTGTAAAAAGGTAAAGGTATTGTACAATTTCTACATCAGCCACGAGGTCCACGAGAAGTGTTTTCTCACGGAGTGATTAGGCTTTGTGCTTCCAAATAAAGCACAATCGAAAAGATCATTCCTGGAAAATAGTTTAGTAAATTAAAACTAATCCTGAGAGCTAGACAATGGTTGGTATAAAGGCCCCTGTAATCCAGGTGTAAGAATGTGTGGTATTTGTCTTTCAGCTTCTTTGCTCTCTTGGTATAATGAAATTCTCCTTTTTATGTTCACGGAGTTGCACAAATCTGATGCTGGAGCTCGGCACATCTCTCAGTTGCACTACAGTAGGTTTTCTCTGATTTGACATTTTCTCCGAAGCAGTAGGTGGTAAGTGACTGTGCCTTTTAATTTAGCGAGGATCCCTCGGCATCCCCATCGCTGCAGAATGGCAGGGTTGTGCCTGTCTTGGAAATGAGATGGTCTGTGGTACTGGTCTGGGCTAGGCTTGGGGGAAGTCACAGGGCAGAATTTCAAGTGTGTTACAAAACGCTCCCTGCAAAGCAGTGTCAACCCTCTTAGTCCAATATCCGAGATAGTGAGAGATAATTGAGACCATCCCATGTGCCTGAGGGTGTTTCTGTGTCTCTGAGATGGAATCGTTGCTGGCTCATCTTTCTGCATATAAATGACACATGGCAATTTTTTCAGGCGTATCTGTGGCTCTCTGCTAAATCCCAGTGGGTAGAAAAGAAAATGTATTTGCTCAACTTACACGTTAAGCTTAAAGTAAAACTGTGCTTAGATTGTGGGACAAAGATTGCTTTCTGTTTTCCAGTGGGATATAAGGTGTCTTGGAGGTTCTTCCTCCATATAGAAAGGCTTGCTTGGTATTTCCCCTAAGCTTCAAAACATCTATGGTTATCAGCAATTGTTATTCTCATGAGGATGCGCATGAGCAGTGTGTACATTTGTGAGGATATAACACAACTTTGCTCCCTGTCTCAGTTGTTTGAGTTGGGAGTCCCAAGATAACTGCCATCAGGGACTAACAGAACCTTGAAATGATTGAGATTTGGTGAGGAGTGGTGTCCTGTCAGTATTGCCCCATTTAGGAGTGGAAGATACTCGGCCTGGCCCTAAATGTTGGAAAATTACCACTGAAATCATCCACGTACAAGCTGTGGGCACCTGGAGTGTGAATTACATCTCACACACACACACTGCTGGTATCCAGTCCCCATTTTGAACCTGCTCGTGAGATAAATAGACCCATCTGGTGCCCTCATGAGGTCCACAGGGAAGAGTCCCAGATTATTTCCTCCGGTTTTAGGTGCTTGGTTGATGTTCCTCAGATTTCCTTGGTGGTTGGCTGTAGCCAACAGGGCTATAAAAAATGGCCAGGATAAGCACATGTGTTAGGTGCCTGAAGAGAGTCTGGACAGTGCTCAACAGGAACAAGAGCCAGAGCAAGTTAGTGCATGAGAGACGTTATATATAAAGGCAGATTTTAAGGACAAACTGTTGATCCTCACCAGCAATGGAGACTGTCTCCCTCGGAGCACCAGCTGCTCTGTGCAGGTACACAGGGAGAAGTGAGGGTCTCCTCAGCATCCTTCCTTGGCTGGTAGGACTCGATAAGCATAAGTGCAGAAACTTGCTGCTCTTTCCAACTCCAATTAGTCCCTTTTGTTGTTTTCTTTCAAAGAGTTGCAGCATGGCGGGATGCTGCCTTGTCTTCCGTGTGGTGCTTCTGACTTGAAGGTAGGGTACAGACCTGAGATCAAAACGTGCCACAGTGATTCAATTCCAGTATATTTGTCCTTCCCAGATCAGTACTGCTGCTTCTGAAGAACCCCACCTTCATCTTCCTCTGCTTAGCAGGAGCAACCGAAGCCACCCTCATTGCTGGGATGTCCACGTTTGGACCCAAGTTCTTGGAGTCTCAGTTTAGTTTAAGTGCCTCTGAAGCTGCTACCTTTTTTGGTAAGAAAACAAGGTTTTTGCAATGTTTTCCCATTTTGCTTACAAATATAAGGGAACTGTAGCTCACTTAGAATGGAGACAAACACTTTTTGCAGTTCATTTACAGAGCGGGTATTGTCTTCAGCTGTTAGATAGGATCGTTTCCCGTCAGCACGTCTGTACCAAGTGCATTTTCAGAGCTGTATCTACTGACATCAGGAAGAAACGTGTCCTTCCGTAGCCATCTGTTACCCTCTAGAGGAAGGCAAAATAACTGTAGTCTGTTCCTACTAGTGCGTTACCAGAAAATATTAACTAAATGTTTCCTCTAATGAGGCACATCTGAACTGGAGGATTTAATTTTGTCAGCATCCTGAAGCTTGGAAGATCCTCGCTTAGCTGCCGTATCATAGATTGAGGGAGTGATGTCCAACAAGCACCAGTACTTACGGTGTGCTCCTTGGAGAGTCTGTTTTAAGATCTCTGGATAGGAAAAGCTGCCTTACCAGGCTCGTGCAATATTACCTGAGCTGCTACAGGGGAGCACCTACTGTAGAAAAATCCATGAACTCCCCCCAAGAAGCCACACAGCAACCGAGTCATTCTCAAGCAGGCACACTAGTTTATATATTAAAACATGAAAACTCCTTGCTGACATTTTTAAACTCGCTTCTGTGTTTTGTTTTTTGGTGGGTTTTTTTTAATTTTTTTTTTTTTTTCAGGTTATCTGGTTGTGCCAGCTGGAGGGGGAGGCACATTCCTGGGAGGATTCCTTGTGAATAAATTCAAACTCCGCTGTTCAGGAATCATCAAATTGTGTTTACTTTGCACAGTGTCAAGTCTGCTGTCTATATTTATTTTTTTTATTCACTGCCCTAACATGCCGATGGCAGGAGTAACCCAGATGTATGAGGGAAGGTAATAACAATCACCCCATCTGTCTTGTGCTGCATGGCCCTGGTTGGAATAGAAGGATAATGCCAAGTATGTGGTGCTGGTGGTAGTCATGTGTGGGGGTGTTGGTGATGGAAGATGATGTCCAGTCAGTCTTACAGGCAGATACTGAGGGTGAGACCCAGAATATAGATTTTTGCTTCTAGTTGGAGCTTAGAAGACACTTAGTGAGGGAGGAGAGATCAGCAGTGCCAAAGTGTAAAATGCTCCACTCTTCAGTTGCCTTCATGGCAACTGAAACAGTCCCCCATCTCTATCCAGTGGGATAAACTGGACTAAAAATGCAAATCTTTCCAAGTGGAGGTGTCTCCCTATGAGCTGGTCACTTAAACTCCCCTGGCAGCTGTGGGAAAGAGAGCTCCAGGGCACGATTTCTCTTCATGGTTAAAACCGGGTGAGGTGAACGCCTTCCCAAGCCTGGCTTTATGCTCCTTGGGGATCCACCACATCTTCAACCATCCCTCCTTCTCTTGTTCTACCAATTTCCTCCTGGAAAATGCTGTTCAATTGTCTCCCCGCTGACTGCTCCTGTGTTTCCTTTAGTGCTTTGCCTGGTGGCCACCTAAACCTGACAGCAGCCTGCAACGCTGAGTGTGGCTGTCTACAGGAGACCTACAGCCCTGTCTGTGGGAGCGATGATGTTATGTATTACTCTCCCTGCCATGCTGGGTGCAAAAAAGTGTCCGAAAACCTCAGGAATGGCAAGAAGGTATGTTCAAAAGTACTGTGTATTAACAAAGGTGGCTGGCACATTTTCTTCGGAGTGTTTTGGCTGGGTCTGCAAAAGTTTTCACAGGTTTGAGCTTTGCTGCAAATCAGCGTAAACGCCCAGTGCAGGGTGGATGCTCTCGGGCACCACCTGGGGTGAGAGCAGAAGGTACCCTGAGGTCACCCTGCTTTGCTTCTCTCAATGTGTCCAACCGGTTTTGACTCCCTCTGGGTCAAACTTCACTGAAATCTGTAAATCATGCAGGCAGGGAGCTTGGTAGTCACCTAATTTCTGCCCCAGTGCTTATTTTGGGTCTTCAGTGAACATGATGCATCTCCTCATCCTTCCAGCATGTCACTCACAGAGACAGGCAAAGGCTTAAGAACAGTAGTGATGACATTCAGCATTCAAGGGCTGTCTGGCAAGGTTAATTTCTTTTATTTAATAACCTGTTTTGAAAGAGAGGTGTGTTGAGAATGCAACTTGATTTCTGCTTCGCTCTGCCCTGGGAGAAAAACTGGTTGGTTTCTACCCTCCGTGAATTTCTTTCTTTTCAAAGCTTTGACTACCTCCGTGCTCTCCCTGGCAAACCACCCACTGACCTTTCTTTCCCAGGTCTATCACGAGTGTAGCTGCATTGAGAAAACTCTCCTGCCTGGCGCCGGTGATGCAGAGGCAGGGAAATGCACTTCCTCTTGTGACAAAAGGCCCTTGCTCCTGTTCTTCATGTTTGTGGTGATCCTCTTCACCTTCCTGAGCAGTATTCCTGCCCTGACTGCCACTCTGCGGTAAGCACGGGATCACCCCGCCCTCTGCCAGCGCTGCAGGAGGCCCCGATATCCACCTCTCCACTTTATCCTGCTGGCTCAAGCCATGGGGAACATGTGATGGGAACCACCTTGGCAGCCTGGAGATACCGGGACTCCTCTCCCTGTCTGGCTGGAAAAGCAAATTTTAGCACTGGCAGCTCTATCCTCGTGACATGAGACACCCGCCTGTGTGTCCCAGTTTACAGCAGGGGTGGGGGACATTGCACTGGGGTGAACCTTGATCTCCAGCGGGAACGGAGCTCCCAAGCGTGCTCGACCCCAGTGCGTGGTGTTGCAGGGCGGGGAGGCGCAGCCTGGCAGCATTTTTAAACAATCCCCTTTTGTTCCCCAGGTGCGTCTCCGACAGACAAAGGTCATTCGCGCTCGGGATCCAGTGGATTGTTGTACGAACACTAGGTATGGAACAGCATGAATTTGGGCATCGGTGTGGTCCGTTGGCTTTCTGGAGCATGTGCCAGGCTGTTAACCTAAAAATGAGTTGGAGAAGAAGAGGGTAGGACACGTGCTGTTGAAAGGAGGATGCTTTCTCTTGTTTGCTGTCATTCGGAAAAACCTAATTCCCTTTGCATATGATTTGTGAACTGAATGAAGGATTCTGTAACTCGTCACAGGTGGGGTAGAGGGCCAATGTCCAGCAACTTGTCCTTATTTTAAGAAAAAAGGAGCAGAGGTGTTGAAGCTCCTGTGTATGTCTTTTGGCTCTTGTGCAACGTGTAGGTCAGGGTGGTCTAAAGACCCACTGGAGTCTCAGGTCTTGAAATTCACTGTAATTTGGATAACTTGGGGCTCTAGGTGGCAGGATGAGTTTGCTTAATCATGGTAGCAGCAGAGCCTGATGCTTTTCTGCAAGCACCTTGTATCTTGCAAGGCTGGTGCGTAGGTGCTGCCCAAACTGAAGGCTCCCTCTCTCTTCCCACAGGAGGCATCCCTGGCCCCATCGCCTTTGGGTCCATGATTGATAAATCCTGCCTGCTCTGGCAGGACCAGTGTGGCGAGCAGGGTTCTTGCTACGTATACCAGAACTTAGCCATGAGCCGATACACCCTCATCGCTGGACTGGTCTACAAGGTGATGCTGCCTGTTAACTTCCCTGTCTGATAAAGTGAGCAGGTCGTTAGGAGATAGTGTTTTGCTCTGGGAGAGAATTTTACGAAATTGGGTTGTCCTGATCTGCCCTCCCCCCAACCCAAATTATACCGTCACACAAGAAATGTTCTCAGGGAAGGCAAAAGATCCATTTGCTTCTCGCCAGGTAATAGTGCTCCAGGCACCATCATTCTCTTAAATTCCCATTACTTTCTAGGCTTACAGCTTCTGTTGCACCATATGAAATATCTCCTCCCAACAGTTACCAAAGTGATTTTTTGATAGAAACAGAATAAAATATATAACAGCAGCATGTTAGTGAGAGTGAAGGATGGCATTGTGGGCAGGCTGTAAACAACCATTCTCGATCACTGCTAGAAAAAAAAGAGAGCTTAGCTCTGTAGTTCTTATTTATTAGCTGAAAACCATCATTTTAACTGCTCCCAAACAAGCTCTTGCCCTAAGTAGTAGTGTTTAGCAGTTGCTGTGACAAAGAGGCTTTCAAAAACCTTCCAGCAAACAGCTCAGGTGGCATCAGTCCTCACAGCACTGTGCTTTGGTGGGGCCCCGTGTGGGGCTGAACAGCTCTCCAAATTCTCACTGTCCCATTGCTATGGGGCTGGCTAAATTCAGACTCTTGCCCTTCCCAGCTTTGTGCACTGGTCTGCTGTCCAGGCTGGCCTTCAGCATCATCTCCTCCCCAAAGCTTGGTCCTTAAATCTCATCCCAGATAAGGGCTAGGCACCTGGTTTTGGGGGGAGCAGAGAGTAACGGGTGTCTTTGTGGTTACAGGTGCTCGGGACAACCTTCTTTATAGTTGCCTGTTTACTCTACAAACCCCCGTCACCAGAGTCAGCTCCGGGCAGCTCAGATACGTCTGAAAATGGCAACTGTGACCTCCAGGAACACAAACCTTCACTGCCAGCTGAAGAGGATATATAGTGTTGTAAACATGCGAGTGACTTTCTCAGTCTCAAAAATACGATGAGAAGACGTTAGGCAGTCTCTAGGGTTTGGTTTTTTTTATTAATAGTAATATTATCACTTTTTTTAGTCCAAGGTAAATAATTTAATTAACCACTGGTGTGCTTGCTATTTTCTTAACAGCGCACATTTAAAATTGTGCGCTGATGCCATATGTAGTTACTTAATTCTATTTAAAGAAAGGGCTACCATAGCTTTATTCTATGTCTGTGACAAGCAAGGACCACATTCTCCACTTGTGGAAATAAGCACTGGTAACTCCAATGGAGCATGTGGGGTTTAAACCACCAGAGGATCTGGGCCCTAGTATCTCAGTTGTAAAGCCAACTGTAGAAAAACTTCTGCTGAGACTTCCTAAGGCTGAAAAGAGCCCTGCTGTCCTGCGGTCTGCACTGCAGAGGGGACAACTGGCCCTTAAACTACTGTATGCCAAGCAGACGGCCCCGACAGCGTCCTCCTCCCTCCTGTGACGCGCAGCATCGCTCCTTTTGTTCAGGAGCGGGTTATCTAATTATGCAAATTTGTATTACTGTGCAATGGGAGATAGGTCTGAGAGGAGATTTGTCTAACAAAGTCATCAGTACACTACAGGCAGCCGTCCCTGAGAGCTGCCGAGCGCTCTGTGTTCGCTGCCTCATTTCGTTGCAGGGCTGACACCGTGGTGGACGCTTCATTATTTTTCTTGCATTGTTTAAAGGTGATGCCTTTTGTAATGTACTGCACAAAACTTGAACTTACTTCTTGCTGTTTGTTGGGGGCGGGAAGACATGAGATAACAGATCTATGCAATGCTTCTCTTTGGTTGCTCTGTAGACATAGATAAGTCAGAATTAATTTAATTTGTCTCTAGACCGCTAGTTCAAGGGAGAGCTTGCCCTACGGACAGACTGCCTTGTGGAAAGAGGGTGCTGACTAGTAACTGGGTGCTTGCAAGTAGAGAGGGCAGCATTCCCAATATGACGTTTGAATGTGCACTTGCAATATTGTCCAACACCTTCCTGAGGGGGAAAAGTGGTATTTAGGCAGGCGTATGTCTGGCTTCCCTCTCAACCCGGATCAGGCGAGGTTAGTGCTTAGTCTGCCTGTATTTGCACAGCCACACAATCCAGGTACAGCTCCGGGGGAGGGCTGTGGCCAACCCCTGGAGTCCTACACTGTATAAACCACGTTCACGGGGACAGGACCCACATTACTGAGCTGCAAAACTGGTGCTTCCTTTGTGCCAGCTGCTACTTAGAATTACTTTGTAGATGTTTTTGTATATTTTGTGTATTTATGCTTTTGTGAATCCACACGGGATGGGCTTTTGTTTCCTTTTGTTTCCACGTTAGCAAAGGGCTGACTCTCAGAGCAGAGGCAAAGCCGTTCCCGTTGCAGACAGGGATGGTGGTGCTGGGAGCGTGGTCAATCTTCAGGTCAAGGGCAGTCAAGAAAGCAGCTTCTTCCCTTCACAGATCCCCTTCCACCAAAGCCAGGCAGTGACCTACCTGCTTCCAAAGCCCTTGTTTCCCAGCCTCTGTCAAGCGCTAGGAGAGACTTGAGCATCTCCAGTAACTGCTGGGAAAGCCAGAAGTGCTAAGGGTGAGACGGAGGGTGCCCTTTGGCTGCTTGAACATGGGCAGCTGGTGCAGCTCTGCTGGAGCACAGTGTGCAGGAGAGCCCTGTTTTTCCAGGGAGGCAGGATTAGACTCACTGATGCAGGAGTTAACCCCAGTACCACCCAAACACCAAAGGCTTCTTCACAACCTTCACCTGAGTTTGGAGCCGCCTGCAAACACGAGCCTGGCTCCAGGCCTTGCCCAGCAATTGCCCTTCCCAGCTTACAGACACTTTTTGGGTACGAGCAGGGATCTTAAATGGGGAAAATGCATGAATGTATTTTGGGAACATTTTATGTATGATGTATTTATGAAAGGTAGAAGTTTTTCTTAATATATATATGTGTATATATTGCAATGCAATTCTAGTGTTTATAAAATGAGCTTTATCTGAGTGTGGCGTTTCCAGAGCAAAAGAAAAGCTCGTGGGATTCTGGGCATTTTATTATGTTGCTGTGGGGCTGGTAAGTCATGGATTTAAGTAAGCAGCAACAAGGCGTTCCTGTTCCATAAACAGGTTATGTAGGTATACAGGTAACTTAAAATATTTTAAAATATATGTTTCTCAGTCTCCTATGAAGTATTATATTGCTATAAAAGCATAGAAATATAATCAGTATTTCACAGGTACTTGTGTATGTGGTTTTCATCGGTTGTGACCCTTTCCCAGCTGCTGTTCTCGGCAGGGGTGGGCTGGATCCGTGCTGCCTGGGAAGCCCGAGCCACAGACCCTCCTGCAGAGGGGTACAGGGACACCCCATGGGGGTCCAGGCTTCACTGAAGGTCATCGTGATGTCTCCAAAGAGAGTTTGGATTTAGGTTTGTGATTAAATTGTTAATTTATCTCCTCGTGGATACAGGAGCTGCAGGCAGCATCGTCTGACTGTTGGGACAGCAGGTGACATTGCAACCCTGTCTCCTACTGACTTACCCTCCCCTAAGACGGGATAGTTGCTTTTGAAGGCAAAATGAGGTTGTTTTGGTTGCTGGAGAAGAAGAATGAAGAGGGCAGGGCAATATCTTTGCTGCCCTCCTTCATCCGCAGACCAACCCCGTTAAAGCTGTGGAGTTTCTCCCAGAGCTACTCTCCGTCAATGAGGTTAAAGTCCTGTGTCACCTGTGGTTTTGCTTAAGGGGGTGATTCATGCTGTTAAAACGCAAACAAACAGTGGTTGGTATTGAGGGAAAGCCACAGGGAACTAAAACAAATGAGCACCCAGAAGGGAGTCCAAGCAGGAAGAACTGAATGTTATTTATTGTAGACACAGACCCAGGCGGTCAATGAGCCGTTTTTCTCTAGTGAGGAGTTTGTTTGGAAGCTTCCTGGAGTTCTTAAAATGACAGCAGATAAAAGCTTTGAATGTGATACAGGGATGGTTTTGCAGAGCTGCCTCCCCTTTTCCTGCTAACGTGGCCTCTCCTCTTCACCGGTGTGTGCAGAAGAGCCTTAGATGCCCTTTCCTGGGCTCCCTTGTCCTGCAGAGCCCCGGCTTAGTTCTTGCCATAGATGGGAATGGGAGTAAATACTGATAATTCACTTTTTATACTTAGATAATTCACTTTTTATACTTTTATACTTAGATAATCCACAATTAGAATTCAGGAAGGAAAAAAAAACAACAAAAAAACAAAAAAAACAAACAAACAAAAAAACAACAAAACAAAACACCAGATTGAAAGACACCTTTTTTTTTTCTTTTTTCTTTTTTTTTTTTTTTTTTTTTTTTTTTTTTTTTTTTTTTTTTTTTTTTTTTTTAGGGAGCCTCAGACCCTTTTCCTGACCGCTGGGTCCGGGTTTTGCGCGGGGCGCGGGTGGGAACCGCGGCCGCGGTGCCACTAGATGGAGACGGTGACTCGTCCCGGCGGCTCCGGGCGCTGCCGGGGCGAGGGGACACGACAGTTCTTGTTGCTTTATAAGAAGGAACCGGGGCAGACCGGTGCACTGGATTCTAGATTTGCACCAACAAAACCGCAGATGTGTTTTTCTAAGCTCCAGATAAGGTCCAAGGTAAAGCTTTTAGCATCTCCAAACAGATCTTTCCAGGGAGAATAGATCTAGTTTGTCATCAGAAAGTCGCGCAGCAGGTGAGGGTCTGAACAGATCAGCTGTGTTATTTTTACAGAAGTTGATAAATTCTTATTTGAAGCCTCCCCAAGAAGGGACGGAGAGCTCAGCTCTCAATCAAAAGGCAGTTTCTCTCTTTATATTTTCCCGTCTTGATTTTTTTTCTTCTTCCCCCCAAATGTGATCACTGAGATTCGCTATCAGCCTGAGCCTCTCGCCTCCCGCTGAGGTGAAGACAAAACCCCCAACTCCACTTCCCAGAACAGCACTGTCCCTTCTCTGCAGTGCCATCAGCTTCCATTTGACCTCTGTTTGGTGGGCAAGCCGTGCTCATCCCCCTTTCACCCTCATGCATGTTGTTGCTGTATTGTCACTAAGCTGGAAATCGGGAGCAAGCAGAGTTTTGGGGGTGCAGGGCTAGCTGTGGGTATGCCAGCCGCCCTCCCCCAGCACTGGGGTATGCCCTGGCTCAGAGGCTGGAGCTGGGCAGCTCTTCCCATCCACTGGTAAAGCTCCGAGCAGTGGAGCTGCTGGGCTTTTTGGAAAATACACCTTGCGAAGAACTAATAACTGACCACGATTTGGAGTAAAGGCTGCCGCAGGGAAGCTGTCTCTGCCTTGCCACGAGCTGGCAGAGGGCTGTGTGGCAGCACCAGAGCAATCTGGACCACGCAAAGAGGGATCCACAGGTAATTTCCTAGCTACTTCACCCCACAGCAATATTTTTTTTCCTTGGCTAGCCAAGACCACATGCTGTTATTCTGCCCGTGCGGTATCAGACTTCTCAGGTCCGAGTCCTCTTGCTTAAGACAGAAATGGAATTGTCTGAAGTCAACTAAGCGACACAGAGCGAGGAATGGAAGTGGAAAAATAATCAAACTCCAGGAGGATGAAATCTTTACATCCCTACGGGAGATCCTTGTTTGTTTGTGTTGTGCAGAAAAGCCTACCTGCGTTTTCCTGAGGTTATGACAGATGCTCGTTTCGGAGCACAGAGATAACCCCGGGGTGCTCTGGACCAGCTGAACGCGGTGGCAAACCTTTTACTGAGCCCGGTGAGTTCTGAATCAGGCTCATAATTAATAACTTTTCTGGCTTGCTTTAAAACAAAACAGCAATAAAGTGGCAGATTAAAGGAAAGGTGTGTTAAACCAGCATGGGCAGACCAACGCAGCAAGCATGGTGGTGGTGGCTGTGGCTCTGCTCTGGGAATGGCACTGGATTTCTGTTGAGCTGTTGAGGGGATTTGAGGGAGCAGAATGTGTTGGCTTTTTCTGCGACCAAGATAATTTCCTCTGGAACGGAATAAATGCCAGAATTTTCTTGTCTTGCCTCAAGTTTTCATCTTGACCTGCAAGCAGTAATTGTAGGAGATAAAACTGAGGCCATTCTGCTCCTTCTATTGAGGTGCTGCATTTCTCCTCCAGCCAGAGACCCTCTGTCCAATTTCCGAGACACACATAGAAGACTAAATCTCACATTAAATTCAAATTTTCAATTTGCTTCTCCGCTTCATCACCAAGTAACACCCTGTCAGTTAATAGAGGGTCCTGAGAAGCCTCCTAAAATACATACAAGGGGATGAGTCCATCAAAAACCCTCGTAAAAACTTACTCTTCTAGTAAGGGGGAAGCAGTGCTACTATAAAATTAATATTGTGGTAGTTCAGTAAACACTAACGCACTAGTAACTATAGAAATTGTAACTCAAGACATGAATGTTCAAGATATTGTTATGCCTTGGTTCAAACTAATAAATATGTGATCTCTTACTGCACTAGCTCTCTGGTTTAAAAATAAAAAGTCTGTTCCAAGTGGAGCAATGCTTTAAAAACTAGTGAAATGACAGATAAAGCCTTCTACCTCAGCAGAGGTAAGAATTAAAAATCATGAGCTATCTCAGCCTCTATGGCATTCCAGATAAAATCTGCCCCATAGTTGTAGGGAGGATGGATTGGTGGTGGATTTAGTTTGGGAGATGCAGACACTATTTTTTTTTTTATTTTTTTTTTTTTTTTTTTTTTTTTTTTTTTTTTTTTTACTTTGGGGAGAAAAAAGTGATGGGGTCGAGCTCGATGCACAAAAAAAAACTTAACTAGGGTGGGCAGTTAACTTCCTTCACTGAGTAGTTAGCCTGTAGCAGCTCCGGTGCGGGTCACGGCACTCGCTGTGCTGAAGGCAGCAGTCGAATGAGACAGGTTAAATCCTGCCCCTTTGGCATTGCTAGTGGAGAGCTGGCGCGGCATGGGAATGCCATGAATGACACTGAAACATTTAAGACTCGGAGCAAGAGGTCGTTGGGCTCTGTTACGTTTGGGCTTTTTTACATTAGTCAGGATCCATGAGGCGTCGTCCGTCTCACTTTTTTAAAGACTTGCTGCTCCCTGTGCAGCTTCTCCTGAGAAACAGCCCAAGTTGCCAAAGAAACCCAGTGTGGGACATTCTCGTACACAGTTAGTTTTTCTTTAACAACATGTTAAAATTTAGTTTTTCCTTTTTTTTTTTTTTTTTTTTTTTAACTGGCGAGGTGGGAAGATTATTTGGTTTTGTGCAATCCTTAAAAAATTTGGATCTGCTCTAAGAATATTCTCTTGCTAAAACGTTGCGGTTTATTTCTTTCTTTTTGTCTCTCCTTTGAGAAGCTGGGCACTAAGCAGTTTGTTACCTGCATCTGCATAAATCAGATAACCAGGAAGAAAACTGATGAAGCCTTGGGACAGTTTATCAGTGTTTTTCAGGGATCCCACACTTTGTATATCAGTATTATTCTGAACTTGTAAGTGTTTCTGGCATCTTATCTGCTTCTTGTCTTGCCCTGAATCAAATGGGGCTTCTCTTTTCTTACAGATAAGCCTCATCTCACTTTTTCATAGCCCTGTTGTTATCGTTGGGAGCTCAGTAGCTCCGTGTGGGATGGCTCATGGGAATGCCCAGTTGGGTTTTACATTCCTTGCGAATCCTGCGAACGCTCAAGAAGCAGGAGGAGCATCTGGTCCTCCCTGAGATCCACCCAACCGACATGCTCCAGCTCTGTGGGTGCTGGGGCTCGGGGGAAGTCTCCGCTGCAGCCCAGAGCTGCTAAACCTCTGCCTTCAGCCTCAAAAAATGAACTGTAGAGAGAGCTAGACATCTTCCCACAATGCTCTTCCTGCCCATCTCCAGGGTGGGCACAGGGGGCTAAGATCCAGCTGCTCGCAGCCCAGGGGGGTGCCTGGGGAAATACCTCCCTCTGGAGCACCCCGGAGCCAGATGGGTGCTGCTGTTCGGGAGGCACAAGCTGGAGAGCTGGAAGAAAAATAATAATAATAATTAAAAAAAAGTGGCTGTGCTCATGTTTTGCTAATCTAATTAGGCAAAAGAAACATCATTAATGCTCTGTATGTCTAATTGATTAACATTCCCACTAAGCACAAGGTTGCTCTCATTAGCAGAGCTCTGTAGCTGCGAATGCCTCTTTGCCTGAAGTTGCGAATTCGTTGCGTCTCTAGAAGGCACATCTCATTTCTGTCTGCAAGATAGTCAGCATTTTTATATGACCATTAAT